GATAGATAGATAGATAGATAGAACAATGGATAGATGGATAGAACAATAGATGGAGAGATAGAACAATGGAACAATAGAGAGAACATTAGATAGAACGACAGAACAATGGATAGATGGATGGATAGATAGATAGATAGATAGATAGATAGATAGATAGATAGAACAATGGATAGATGATAGATAGAACAATGGATAGAACAATAGATAGATAGATAGAACAATAGATGGATAGATAGAACAATGGATAGATAAATAGAACGATAGATAGAAAGATAGATGTTTGTTTGTTCCAGTCATCAACTGAAACAGTGGCATTAAATTAGCGCATCTCTGACCAAAAATTATGCTTGAGTTGAAATGTATACACCTTTTTTTGGCTGAAATATTGACAGGCGAGTTCAACTGCTCAATTACCCAAATTTTATTACAAAACCTTTTTTTTTTATGTCTCTGCTTTTGACTAGATAAAAATTTAATTTAATTTTTGGTATTAAAATAATCATTTTGGTGCATTTATTTATATATATATACATACATACACTGAACAAACATCTTCGATTTCACGGTGACTCGAGGCTGAACTTGAGCGCAGTGTAAAGAACGAATGCTGGAGGTCTGGCGGTGATTGTGTGAACAGAACGGCTCCTAAAGGCTGCAGAGCACTCATGCGTGTCCTGATGTGATGTTGGCATGTTCTCTCAAGCGTCACACGCATCAGCACACGCGTGTTCTGTGTAAACGCTTTACTGCAGAGAGAAGAAATCTGCTCTAAATCACACAACACGATCCAGCAGATCAGGATCTGACTCCAGAGGGCTGATGGGAAACTTTCTGAGTCACTCATTGCACAGAGAAAAACATTCAAACTGAACACAGAACTAATTCTACACAAAACGCATGTTTGAGATCAGATCTGAATCTTATCTTAGAATTCATTATAAATATGAGCTTGTTTTCAATTAAATATTTTTTTAGATTGCTGATACAACAACTTAGTATAGATTGCCGATATAATGCTGATATATATGTTACACATGTTAATAATATGTTCAGATGTAGACAAACTGTACACATTTGCACACATTTCCCTAAAATATATATTTTAAAAGGCATTCTTTTTTAACACTGAATGTTAAGTAGAACTGATATAAAGTAGCAGGTATTGGAAGATGCCGATAATCTCAAAATATCGGCCGATATATCGGTTAATAACTGTTACAATTCAGACTTGGATCTGGTCTCTGATTGGATAATCCTGCAGCATCCAAACTCATTCACAACATCACACTGTGAATGATTCAGAAATAATGTATTAATTCAGTTTATAGACTAGAAGTTTTTAAACCGGGGTCCTTAGAAAAGAGAAAAACAGTGCTAAAAATGTAAAAATAAAAAAAATTAAAATTAAATCAGAATCAGAAAAAGATTTATTGCCAAGCATGTCTGCACAAACGAGGATAGTTAAATTAATATAATAATTATATTAAAATAAATAATTCAATGATAAAATTCTATTACTACAATCTAAAATAAAAATCAGATCTAAATAAAAGCATAACATAATTAAACAAACACATAATAAAAAATATTAAAATAAATAATCAGAACGAGCATTATTGCCAAGTATGTTTGCACATACAAGGATAACTGATTAATATATTAATTAATATAATTATATTAAAATAATTCAATGATAAAATTCCATTACATTTTAAGACAAAAATTGTTCTGTGTAAACGCTTTACTGCAGAGAGAAGAAATCTGCTCTAAATCACACAACACGATCCAGCAGATCAGGATCTGACTCCAGAGGGCTGATGGGAAACTTTCTGAGTCACTCATTGTGCAGAGAAAAACATTCAAACTGAACACAGAACTAATTCTACACAAAACGCATGTTTGAGATCAGATCTGAATCTGATCTTAGAACTCATTATAAATATGAGCTTGTTTTCAATGAAATATTTTTTTAGATTGCGGATACAACAACTTAGTATAGATTGCCAATATAATGCTGATATATACAGTATATGTTACACATGTTAATAATATGTTCAGATGTAGACAAACTGTACACATTTGCACACATTTCCCTAAAATATATATTTTAAAAGGCATTCTTTTTTAACATTGAATGTTAAGTGGAACTGATATAAAGTAGCAGGTATTGGAAGATGCCGATAATCTCAAAATATCGGCCGATATATCGGTTAATAACTGTTACAATTCAGACTTGGATCTGGTCTCTGATTGGATAATCCTGCAGCATCCAAACTCATTCACAACATCACACTGTGAATGATTCAGAAATAATGTATTAATTCAGTTTATAGACTAGAAGTTTTTAAACCGGGGTCCTTAGAAAAGAGAAAAACAGTGCTAAAAATGTAAAAATAAAAAAAATTAAAATTAAATCAGAATCAGAAAAAGATTTATTTCTTTAGTTCTATCTATCTATCTAACAGTGCAGTACTACAGCTAGTAGAATAGAATAAATAGAAATTAAATGTTTTCCAAATATAGCATCATACAGGTTAAGTATATAGCAAGTATAACAATCTAAATCAGGTCTTTATACATGAAAATATTTAGCTGCCCTCCTTTTAAATGTGAGGTTGAGGGTCCCTTGCTCGTATTTGTGGCCCGTGGCATCTAAAAGATTGAAACCTCTTATAGAAATACCATGAAGCTCCTCTAAATGAACACAGGCCTCTGTGAGATGCTGACATATGTACAGAAGATACGAACACAGACAGAATGAAGATGCATGAAACAAAGCATGCATACAGGCAGAATAAGCACTCTGAGACTCGAGGCCTGCATGCATCTGCAGAACCGCATTCACGTCCTAAAGGCAGGTGTGGGATTACACGCAGGAGGATGCACGAGGTGTTTCAGCATCCTATGCGTCTCAGAGCATGCACGGGGTTTAAATGCATGCGGCGCGCGGGGTGACGTTCACACGGATCTCATGCATGCGGGAAATATCAGAAAAGCGAATGCAAACGACACATAACACGCGAGGCTGACGCTTCGCCCCGGCTGCTACAGCCACTCACCGACGGATCTGTAGCCCAGGACGGCGATCTTTCGCGATTTCGGCTGCGGCATCTTTATCTATTCCCTACCGCATCAATATCCACATGTAAGAGGAGGGCGAGTCTGGTCTGGAACAAGCGAAATCACATGGATTTGATCCGGTTTTAGCGTCGTGAAGATTGAAAGGGGAAAAGCACGAAATCCGCTCCGCCGAAACAAGCGAGAATAATTGATGAATTGCGAGGAGTGGCTGCGTCACTGCCCACCGCAAGCCTGCGTTAATTATGCAGGAATGAGCGCCTCGGATTGGCTGGACTCGCCCTGAGAGGCGGGACGCGTCGGTCTTAATCGCACAACCATTGGCTGAGCGTGACTCAACGCTTCTAGAAGGGCGGATGTGATTGGATGCCTGCAGCTGTCAATCACGAGACGCCGGATTATTAAACACACTCACGTGCGATTTATAGTTTTTAGGCTTGAAAAGTTCAAAACGTGCCCCTGATGTTGAATCATTTGTACTATTCTTCAATATATCCAATATATAATTTGTACTAGCTAATAGCCTATATTCAGATATATAATGATCTGATTATATTGGATAAAATATTAAACTCACATTTTAATGTTCTTAGGAATAAAATCAATGTTTTATCTGGTAATTTACCATTTTTGTATTGGCATCATCCTACAGAAGTGGCATCAACAGCAGCACAATATTATCAGGGAGGAACTGAGTTTGGTGGCATTAGTTTGAAAGCCTCTCTAGAAGTCCTCCAGTGAGACTCAGTGACTAACCTGAGCTCTTTATGAACATACCATTCCAAGTTATAATTATTGAATTATTCAAATTACAACACAAACCTTTTCAGTTTTTCGAGCTGAAAGCTTCAGGAATGACCGCCTCTTGTTCTCAAAAGTATATTTTTGGAGTCTCTAGCATGCTTTTGGTTTTCTTCTTGATGCCATTAGACTGTGCATGAAAAGCCTAAAAGTCAGTCTCTGCAGTCCTCTCCTCTGGACATACACACTCACACACTCACGCACACGCTTTAAACAGAGACAGTGAGTAGCCTAGAGAGAATCATGCATTTCTTGATTTTTCTTCTTCTTCCCACAGCATTTTCATCATTTCATGATCTCCCAGTTGCTTTTTTCTAGTCTTTTACTTCATTCTCACACAGAGTCAAACGGGACACAAGACAAGGACAGAGAAAGATGAACATTAGCAGGTTACAAAAAACCCTGGATTCAACACGGGCTATACACATGGATTTGACCGGCTTTGCTAAAAAGTCCAAAACTAACTTCAAAGGGCAATGCTGCATGACAAATAATAATTTACAAGTCACATTTTTACTATACAGTACATTTTTTTATGTCGTCATATATAGGCTAAAATATTAAACTGCAATTATGAATGTGTAAATCATATTATGGTATGCTAGTAAAAGAATATAAATAATGGAGCTAATATAAACGTCAGTAATATAATGAGGTTAATAATAATTAATAGGCAGAAGTGTCAGACTTCTAAAAGTCTGATTTGAGCAGAAACAAAACGCAGGCTCTTCATCGAACATTAAAAAATGTAAACCAACATGTCTTTATACAACAGCTGATTAAAGACTGAAGAAAGGACAGATATGGGACAAAAGACTAGTTCTAAACATTCAACATTAATAACAATAACACTGATATTCCTGCTTCAAATAAATAAGAAAGAAAGAAACATGTAAGATTTGTTAGAACAATGATTTGTGTGTCACATGGTTATGGAAAGCGTACACTGATGATGTTTTTTATGTTTCTTTCTTCAGTCGTGTGATTAATCACCTGTTGCATGAAGGCATAACCGTCTGATGAAGAGCCTGCGTGCTCAAAACGTCATGTGATGGTCTGAAAGTCTGATATTAGAAATACGTTTTAAGATTACAGCACAAACGTAGGCTAAGTGAAAATAAAATTAGGAATGACCCATTCTTATTCTAAGAAGTACGTTTTGAGTTATGAACTCTATTCTGTTATTTTAAAGTTCTTGATGCCATTTAAACTGTGTGAAATACCTAAATGTCAGTCTCTGCTGGCCTCTTCTAGACAGACCCTTTTTTTTTTCAAAACAAGCAGTAATTCTTTAACTGAAAATCATAAATTTTACACAAAAAAAAACTTTGTCAGGATTTGGCTAAAATGAAATGCTGAATGTCTATTCGTTTTATGTGTGTGTCATATTATTAATGAGACAAGACAACAAGATCCTACATTATATACCATAATAAAAATGCGAAGCTGTTTTAACCAGATACAGTTGTGATAGATCGCCAGAAAATATCCATTCTGTCTGAAAACCAGTTCATTCATACAAAGTCTTGTTTGGTAGCATCGTATTTTGTCTGGTACCCAAAACTGCATTTATATCTGCCTGAGAGACAGACGAAGGAAGCTGAGGATGAGCAGACAGCAGGAGACAAAGTGGTGATATATATATATTTTTAAAAAAGCATGGTTTATTGAATAATCTAGGTTGCTGTTGTTTCTGTGCTAAATTTGAGCTTGATGGTTCTGTCTGAGCTTCGTCTAACTTCGTCCTCGTCCCAAAAACACAAATCCAAACTCAACTGTTACCAAACTGTTCCACAACATTCTCCCATAGATTCTTGAAATGAAGACATTCCCACTTATGAAAAAACAAATAGCCCTTCAAACCCCACAGCAAGAAGATTCAACAATAATAAGTACACTGTAAAAAAAAATCCGTCAAATTTACGGTAAAAAAAAAACGGCAGCTGTGGTTGCTGGAATTTTACCGTAAAAAATACGGTAGCTACATTTTAGGTTTTACGGTTTTAACTTAAATTTACAGTTAAATACAGTAATTTCATTAACTGATATAATGTTAATCTACCAACCTATTGAAGCACTGAAATCTGTTTTATAGCTTTGTAATACACTGATAACTTTACAGTGTTTTACCGTTAAATTCACGGTCATTTTTTACAGTGTACAAGAGCAAGGAAAATAAGTAATATAAAATAAAAAATAAATAAATGATCACAACAGTGATGTAGCCAAATCGACCAGTGACATCATCGCTAAAAAGAATAAGCAAAGCTTCAGAACATCAGTAAAGAGATGAGAAGAAGATTGAGAAGAAAACATTTATCAACAGCATCACTGGCAACAAGGACGAACAGAAGACGGAGACGCCTGTAGTGACCATGATGGGACCAAAAGTTGCTATATTTTCGATGATCGTGCCATTTTATCAAAATATTATACATTTCATTTATAAATTAGTAGGAGCCTCCCCAGAGGAATCTATGTTGAAAACTCGTCATGCTGAGTTATCTGAGCTCACCGGTGTACAGCAACGTCTGAAAGAATGAGAGCTGATGGACAACCAGCCTCAATCCGGTCTCACAGGTCAGATGCCCAGGGTTTCTCACCTTGATGAGGTCAAGAGGTGCCTTTCCCGAATTCAGCAAAAACGTTCTGGGAGAAAGTGGGAAAACTGCTGGACACGCTGAAGGAGAAGACCACCGCCGGGGAGATTTAGATCGAGGACCTCGCTGATGTGAAGAAAGAGTTCCTGGAGTCCACTGATGCAGCTAAAGAGGTAAACCATGATGATAATGATGTTTGAAAGTCGTGAAACTTTTACGTCTTGTTCCTGAAGTGTCTGACCTCTAATGTTGAATATAATTGGAACGGGGATGGACACAGTGTGGCATCAGCTGCATGAGGGCCAACAACATGTTCAGCGTTCAGGCCAGTCAGGCTTACACGTTCCTGGAGATCTGTCCTTCATCTCTGTCCAAAGAAGAGTGGGAGAAAGAGTACGAGAGCGTGAAGGAAACTAGGTCAAAAGGCCATTAAACCGTGAGGGAATAATGCTTCTGCTTTTCATGTGACCTCTGACCCGTCATGTCTGATTCGATCTCTCTGTAACAGTAGCTGAGGTTTCCATCCAAACGTGAAGCGAATATTTTCATAGTTCGCAAAAAACAAATGTGAATCAGGTGCATTTCCATCAGGTTGTTGGAGCAGATGACGGTGGTTTTGGTAAACCTAGCAACCAGTGTTGTGGGTAACGCATTACAAGTAACGCGAGTTACGTAATCAGATTACTTTTTTCAAGTAACTAGTAAAGTAACGCATTACTTTACAAGAGAATATCTGAGTTACTTTTTTTTCCCAATTTATTGATTGACAGCTCTGGTGTCGCCATGGTGACAGAAATCAGAAGATGTTACTGTAGTCCTAAAATAAATATGAATATGCATTGATTCATCTCACTCACAAACCAAACATAGATTCAGTATTCCTCAAAATGAATAAAAATAATGCACCTCAGAATATGAGGCAAACCTGCAATAACTAAATGTTAAACAACACAAATATGCTTTATGTATTTAATCCCATTCTATTAGCTTCTGAGCTTCTGATGATTCAGTTCAGCCGTACTAATAAGCACACGTTACTCTAGACAAACATCTGTGTCTTTGTTTATTGCTGAAGTGTGTTGAAGTGCATTCTTCTGCGTTCTACTGTACTTTCCCTTCAGCCTGAGGCGCATTCATTTCACTTCTGGTGTGAAAGGCTTTTATATTTGCCAAAAATACAACTTTTTTATTTTAAAAACAAACAAGCAAGCCCTGTCCAGATTTAAAAAGTAACGCAAAAGTAACGTAACGCATTACATTCCATAAAAAGTAACTAAGTAACGTAATTAGTTACTTTTTTTTATGGAGTGATGCAACAATTGTAACGCATTACTTTTAAAAGTAACAAGTCAAAAACCACCTCAAGCAAGCGGAAATTTATTATGATTATCTTTTCAAAAATTTGACGTTTCCATCACATCTTAATGATTGAACTATATCATTTTTATATTCTTCCTTCCTGTTTTTTAAATACATTTTAATTTAATCAATTAACTTTTTTTTTGATTTCTTAGCATTTTTATGATTTTAATTTTTTTTTAGCATTTAGCATTAGACATTAAAGCAAGTCCTGGATTACCTTTTATCATCTCGAGCGGTAGTGTTAAACACAGCAGACAGAACAAATACGAGACCATTTCAAACTTTTAAGATCCTCTAAACAAGAATCGGGCAAAAAAAAAAAAGTTAAAAAAGCAATCTATGTAATGAAATATTGGTGATAATTCGATTAATTGTAGTTTTTCCATACAATGGATGTCAATGGCTACCATCAACTGTTTGGTTCCCAACATTCTTCAAAGAATCTTCTTTTGTGTTCAGCACAAGAATGAAAGTCATACAGGTTTGGAAAAACATGATGACGAGTAAATTATGAGAAGAATTTTTGGTTGAAATATGCCTTTAACACAGTTAACTGCAGCACTTATTTGTACTCCAGCATCTTAAAGCTACTGTAATTATGTAACATCAGAATAAATGGGTTTGAAGTGTAAAGCGTCTCGTCTTCGTTTTCAGTCACGGTTTCTACTGAAAAATACAACAGAAAAGATATGATACAAGCAGAATCAACAAACAATTTCTAAAGTTTGATGACTAAAGCAGTGGATATCAATCAATGTTGTTATAATCCCGTTCACACATGCAATGACTTTTCAGATTTCAGGTGATGTACTTGTTTTGTAAAGAATTCAATGATCATTATAAAACGGTTTAATCATAATGATCATTATAGTTATTGTTTTTTCTTGCGAACAGGCCTTTATTCAGTCCTTCAGCTGCGAGTCTAATGCTTTTTTAATGCTTAACATCGTGTTTATTAATGTTAATGACTCCTATGGTTTTAGTAAAAGTTCTTCTTCAAAAAAACTCAGTGTTTTAACTTGTAGAACAACACTTCTAAACACAGTCAAATACGACATAAAAGTACAAAGCAAAGATCCTCAGCAAATAAAATATGCCTCTTTCTTCATGAAGCTCTTTTCCATCTTCTGAAGTCATATGATAGTTTTGTGTGAGGAACAGACACGAATGTGTGATTCACTGATACACACTCAAATAAATACTCAGGATGAAACTTAAAGGGGTCTTATGATGCTTTTTTAAAGATCATTATTTGGTGTATTTGGTGTAACAGAATATGTTGACATGCTTTAATGTTCAAAAAACACATTATTTTTCAAATACTGTACATTATTGTAGGTCCTCTATGCCCCGTCTCTCTCAAACGCTTCGTTTTCTACAAAGTCCCTCCTTCCGACAAGCGCAGTCTGCTCTGATTGGCCAGCTGACCCAGTGCATTGTGATTGGCCGAACACCGAAAGCACTCATCGGAAATGTAACGCCCCTTACCATAATCACCAGCTTCAGCTTTCAAAATAAATGTAAAGACAGCCCGAAAGGGGAACAGAGTCTCGTGACAGACACAGTGTGTGGTATGTGAGCTGGTATGTGTTTGCAGTACACAAGCCACGGTTAAGACAGCTGACTCCACTGTGATGTGTCTCGCTCTCTCTCTCTCTCTCACACACACACACACACACGATGCGCAAAACTCCGCATTTGAACAGTCAATAGCAAATACTTAAACTAATAACAAAACAGTAGCTGATTCAGAAGCGTCAGATTGTCATAGCAAAGTCAGAATGACCTCCTCTCCTAGGTTCACGAAACGGTCGTCCATAAAATGCGTTGCTGTTCTGTTGTAAGTCATCTTAAAGATTCCTAAATGCATCTACTTTCGGAAGGCCAAATAAAGTGCTTTTGCTTTCGCCTAGAAACACACAGCGTCTCCCTGACATGCTGCTTCAACACTAACTGCGGTTACTGAAACCACACCTTCTTTCTTTGCGTGCACATTTGGGCACATTATGCAAATATTTCCACATAGTGAGGTAGATATGTGGGGGCGTGTTAGAACGAGCCGTTTTAGGGGGGCGTGGCAGAGTCTTAACTTTGATAAAGAATATCTCTTTGGTTTGGAGACTTTAGTCTTTGCAACTTCAGGGATCTTATCTATGCACAATCAGCTTGTAACACTCCAAAGAGAAAGGAAAGCTTGAAATCACATCATATGACCCCTTTAACATTTATGTATTTGATTTGCATATAAAACATCCATCCATTTAGATGAAACCGGTTTAATATAAACAACTAAACTTAATGGCATGCATAATTGTCAGATATTTTGTTAGAAATGTTATGTAATTCAACAACCTAAATCTGAAATATTAGCATATTGTTTATGTTTTAGTAATTGTTTTATTTTTGTCATTTTTAATAGATTTATTGTATTTTTTATAATTTTTTTAAAGCTTATTTCGATTCACTTTAGTTGCCAAGGCACCATTTCTGATTTTTTTTCTTTTTAAATATTTTAATAACACTGTTTTAATGCACTTCACAATTACACCGAATGCATTGCAGGAATGTAGTCAACTAAAACTTAAACTAAAGACAACATTTTGTTACCTGAAATAAAATAAACAATTATATATATATATATATATATATATATATATACACAGTGGGTACGGAAAGTGGGTACAGACCCCCTTAAATTTTTCACTCTGTTATATTGCAGCCATTTGCTAAAATCATTTAAGTTAATTTTTTTTCCTCATGACCCTAAGCACACAGCTAAAATAATGAAGGAGTGGCTTCACAACAACTCTGTGACTGTTCTTGAATGGCCCAGCCAGAGCCCTGACTTAAACCCAATTGAGCATCTCTGGATAGACCTAAAAAGGGCTGTCCACCAACGTTTACCATCCAACCTGACAGAACTGGAGAGGATCTGCAAGGAGGAATGGCAGAGGATCCCCAAATCCAGGTGTGAAAAACTTGTTGCATCTTTCCCAAAAAGACTCATGGCTGTATTAGATCAAAAGGGTGCTTCTACTAAATACTGAGCAAAGGGTCTGAATACTTAGGACCATGTGATATTTCAGTTTTTCTTTTTTAATAAATCTGCAAAAATGTCAACAATTCTGTGTTTTTCTGTCAATATGGGGTGCTGTGTGTACATTAATGAGGAAAAAAAATTAACTTAAATGATTTTAGCAAATGGCTGCAATATAACAAAGAGTGAAAAATTTAAGGGGGTCTGAATACTTTCCGTACCCACTGTATATACACACACACACACACACACACTCACACTGCTTCTCTTTGCACAAAAAACACACGGACGACAGGTTTGGCAGATATAGATATGTATTTATAGGTTTGATTTTGTTTTTTTTGTTTTTTTCATACCAGATAAATAAAAAGTTAACAATACAATCTGGTCACTATTACATGTGGAGTCCGTATGATAATAATGACCAAATTAAAACATGATTGTCACTCAGTGTGCTTCACAAAAATCTGTCAATGAATAAATTATCTGGTGAACTTAATCTATTTACAGTATAAACAAAAACAAACAAAAAAAAGATCACGAACACGAGCTTTGGATCTTCGGACAGGACGTTTCAGCAGTTTTTCCATCGTTCCACACAAACACAACCACAGAAAGGGCAGAAACACGAGTTAATATGAGTGCTTTAATGCCACGCATGATCAGACTGTACATAGAGTTCATAAAAACTATGATAAAATCAACATCCACGTGACGTCGCATTCCACACAAACATGAAGACACGCGTCCGATGAGACGAAGGCAAGAGAAGTGTTGGAGGAACAGAAGACGCGAGCGGATGAAGATGGTGTGCTGAGAAACATGGCTTCGGCTCCAGTTTCAGTTTTCCGTCGCTGTGTTTCAGTGTCCGGGATGATGAGGATGCAGAAGATCGAGACATTAGAGCAGCGTCCGCTCAGATTACCCAGAATTCAAGTATTCCAGTGCCACTTCATAACAGAACTTATACTGATCCTGCAGGAGACACACACACACACACACACACACACACACACACACCAGCAGGGGTCAGTGTAACACAGTCTGTGAACATTTATCATGTTATTATTTATTATGAAACCAATATATATATATATATTTATTTTTTATTTAAAAGGTGTGTATTTTATTTTGAGGTCTTACAGCATTTGCAACGTTTGTTTCCTTACTACACTATGCATTTTTTAATGCATTTTGCATTTTATGCATTGTAATTATTATGCATCTCTTCCGGCTCAAAATGGATCTGAATGCGTTGTGAGTTATTTTTAAGTTATTATAAGTTAACTAAGATGTTTGTGGTGGTAGACATGACAATAGAAACATGAAACAAACAGTAATAATTTTATTACACTTTGTTTGAAATAAAAATAAAAAATAATAAATAAAATAAAAATGCAATTTGTTATATTTTTACTTGACTAGTTACATTTTAAAAGATTTACGAATTTATGGTGAAGATATATGTTCATTTTGATGATTTAATAAATGATCAAATTGTAAAATTTTTATGAAATCAACTGATTAGACGTGCTTTTTTATGATTAAAACCTAAATTAAACCATTAAAACTGAATACAGAGAAATTAAAACAGAATTTGCACTCTAAAATGTCTGCAAAAATGATTTACTAAACATTTTATTCGATATCCTGCACAGGACTCCTGCCATGACAACTACACTGACATCGCATGATTGAACAGTCGTAAGGGTCAATTTTTTTAAATTGAGATGTATGCATCATCTGAAATCTGAATAAATCAGCTTTCCATTGATGTGTGGTTTGTTAGGATCGGACAATATTTGAAAATCTGGAATCTGAGGGTGCAAAAAAATCTAAATATTGAGAAAATCATCTTTAAAGTTGTTCAAATGAAGTTCTTAGCAATGCATATTACTAATCAAACATTAAGTTTTGATATATTTACGGTAGGAGATTTACAAAATATCTTCATGGAACATGATCTTTACTTAATATCCTAATGATTTTTGGCATAAAAGAGAAATGTATAATTGTGACCCATACAATGTATTGTTGGCTATTGCTACAAATATCCCCCAGCGACTTAACACTGCTTTTGTGCTGCAGGGTCACATATGTGCATTATTGTTATTATTATTTTTATCATTAAACAGTGATGAAAGTAACTCTTTTCCAGCTCCGTCTGCAGCAGTAAGATCCTCAACAATATTTGAAAATCTGGAATCTGAGGGTGCAAAAAAATCTAAATATTGAGAAAATCATCTTTAAAGTTGTTCAAATGAAGTTCTTAGCAATGCATATTACTAATCAAACATTAAGTTTTGATATATTTACGGTAGGAGATTTACAAAATATCTTCATGGAACATGATCTTTACTTAATATCCTAATGATTTTTGGCATAAAAGAGAAATGTATAATTGTGACCCATACAATGTATTGTTGGCTATTGCTACAAATATCCCCCAGCGACTCAACACTGCTTTTGTGCTGCAGGGACACATATGTGCATTATTGTTATTATTATTTTTATCATTAAACAGTGATGAAAGTAACTCTTTTCCAGCTCCGTCTGCAGCAGTAAGATCCTCAGTAGATGCTCAAACCGCTGTCAGGTGTGGATGTGGATGTTCTGACGCTCACCAGCAGATCCACCATGTTGGGTTTGTTGTTTCTCAGTGTCTTGACGGCGTGAAAGACGTCCACCGAGTGCTGGTGACACAACATCTCACACACGATACTGATGGCACAGAACGTGCCGCTGCGGCCGCCGCCGTTACTGAAACACACACAGCACATCATTTATGATTATCAGAGACTCATGACTGTGTTTCTGACTGATGCTGCTGCTGACATTGCTTCTAAACCAGGGTGATTATCCTTAACTAAAACTGAAATTAAAACTAAAACCATTAAAAATATTTTTTGTTACACGAAATGTGTTAGATGTGATATAAAAGAACAACAACTAATTGTTAAAGCAACATTTTTCATTTTTTTTTTATTTAACTTGGAGTACTAAAATAACTTAAACGGATATTAAAAAATACAAAAACTTTATATTTAAAAAAACTAATAAACATGACAAAAACAGCAAAATTACTAAAACTCTAAAATTACAAGGAAAATATAAAAAGTTATTCAAAATATTATTAAAAACTATAACAGTATATCATGTAAACTAAAATAACATCGGTTTTTGTTTCTATTATGGATTCAGCTTTTTAATGCATCAGTTCTTTCATTAAAGCTGAAAACTAAAGAATGCATTATAATGCTTTTATTGATGTCACAGCTCCAGTGGTTTTCTGATAACCTTCATAACATGATGTCAATGACTTTAAACGTCTCATCTGGATATGATTTATGATTACAGTAACATACAGTGTTTCTCCATCACGTCGACTCACATGAATTTCTACAGCACTTTATACAATCCAGATTGATTCAAAGCAGCTTCACAGTAATACACAGGAAAATACCAGAGTTAATGTTGTAAAATTAATCAATTATGAAACAAATTCAATTTCAGCTGTAAAGCAGCTCTTCAGAAGACAACAGAGTCATTATTCAGATCAATCCTGTTGAAGTTTTGTTTGCATCTATTAAATCGATTATATTACTGAATATTACAATATTCACTGAACAACAGCATTGGTGTGTGTGGGGAGTGAATGAGTGTGTCTGTGTGTGTGTGTGTGTGAGCGGCTGCTTTTATTCTGATTTATGGTCAGAAATCACAAACTCAATGAAACAGTTCTCGTCTCAAATGTATTCCCACCTTTACTGCTGTTCAACACTTAATCAGTCTCAGGTTGGCATATTTTGACTGTATTTATGCCCGGTGTGTTCATTTGTCAGTGCTGCATCTGATCTGGGAGCAGTAGGTGGCGCTGTGCTCCCGCTCATGAGCTGCAGCTCATTATTCAGCACACTCACCGAGTCTGGCTGGTGAACTCCTGAAGAGTGTGTGTGAATGTTTATTTCAGGATAAACACGACTGGGCAGCCGGCTCTGGAGAACGAGAGCGAGATCAGAATCTCTCGGAGTCTCACCAGAATCACGCTTCACGCTCTCAGAAACTAGCTTTACTAGTAGTGTGTGAAATATCCAAAGCAAGATTATCCAGCTCAGTTCAGCTGAAGTGTTTTTCTGAACTGAACTGATCTGAATAATGACTCTATTGTCTTCTGACACGAAAATTTAACGAAAATTAACGTTTCATTCATTTTACAACATTAACAGTTATTTTCCTTTTTCATTACTGTGAAGCTGCTTTGAAACAGTATGTGTTTTATAGAAATAACAGTAAGTGCTATAGAAATAAACATGACTCGACAAACACACTTTTGCATTCCATTACCTTGCTTTTCCAGTGTTTTTCTATGTAAGCGTGCGCTAGATAAATGTCTCTGATGTGTCTCGCATGATATGGCCATCTAAAAACATGACACTTGACTTCAAACTTTAAGAAATGCATGACAAGATGCATTGAAGAGGTTTTTCACAGCCCTATATCTTGTGTTTTAAACCCCAAAACATGTTCTTGGTGAATGTAGTCACTGATAGCAAATCATAAAGACAAAACTGTAAAAACACACAATTTACACAATATTTCCTTGAATATATTTGAAAACTTGATGAGCCAAATATCAACTAATTGAGTTATTAAAACTAAAACCATTAAAATATTTAAAATTAAATAAAAGTTAACTTAAATGATAATAATACAAATAAAACAAAATATAAAAAAATTTAAACTTGGATTATTTTAGCAGATGTCCAAGGAAACATTTCTAATTTTCATTTATCTTAACTAGATTAAAATAATAAATAAAATAATATAGTACTAAAATAACTCAAAAATAAAACTGAAATAAAATTAATAAAAACTACATAAACACACGCACACACACATATATAAACAAAAAAAATGACAAAAATACAATAAAATTACAAAAAAGATCAAATCAAATAAAATCCTTATTAATAATAAAAAATATAACTATATTTAAATAAAAATACATTCTAAATATTACAAGCAAATTCTATCTATTAATAAAAAATATAATTCTAAATATTCTACACAAATTCTAAATATTGATCAAAACAATTCTATTTTTTACAAAAAATCTACATATTCATAAAAATATTGTAATAAATATTACAAACAAATTTTATGTAAATTTGTAAATACAAATCTAATCCTAAATATTAATTATAAATATGCTAAATAAATATTGCATTACTATTAATAAAAATAATATAAATATTCTAAGTATGACTATGTAAGACTGAAGCGGACTCACAGGCAGTGCACGACGGTGCGTCCCTCTCCTCCGTCGTACTCCTCCTGCCATTTGTCCACCTGTCGGATGAGTTTGAGGAAGGAGCGTTTGGAGACGGGAGTGTCGCGGTACATCGGCCAGCCCAGAAACTGGAACTGCTGCACCATCCGGTACCCGTCCTGCGGCTGCACGCAAACCACACGTTCATGACACTCAAACAGCCGACTCTGACTGAAGTGTGTTAGCGAGCGCTTACTCACCCGCGCGGCGTTATAGATGCGGAAGATCCTGCTGATGATGTCCTCCTCCAGATCCGCAGACACAAACTCCACCTGGATGGGCCCGTGCCGATGGACGCCGTTCTCCGGCCAGTACTGCGGACACAGCTGGACACAAAACACACCAATCACACACATCAGCATCACATTCACTGCCACTTCAGTGGTTCCATGGCTGATCAGTTTCAGCAGTTTTTCTAGAACAGCATGGCTATACCGTCCGGTTCACAAGTTAGACCAGCAATTAGCCAGAATAAACCAGCCTAGACCAGCAACTGACCAGTATAAACCAG